AAAATGTAGATAATTGAACACTGGAAACGACTGAAACAGATAGTCAGAAAACCGAAGAAAAGTAGAAAAGCAAATTTTTAACTTTTTGGAAATCTAAAACTCTGGTTTTTAATGAGATTTATAATGAAATCAAGGAAGAGTCAGAGCAAAAAAGATATTAAAGATATTTTTTAAATAATAGTAGTGACTGTTTTTCAATTTCTTACTCTACTGTCTTCCGTCACAATTATTTTTGCCGTTCTTCTACAAGGAAGTGGTCTAGGATTTTGAATAAACTTTAAAACGTCAGAAAATTTCTGTTGGTTAGCTCCTATTAAACAGACAACTTTTTTGCCCACGAAATTTTATTTTTTTCAAAACAGTTTTAATGTTTCATTATTGCTTTGAGTGAAACCGGTTATACGATTTTTGCCTGATATGTTGATGCTTTTGTCTTGTTAACATTTTTGTTTCAGGCACAAGAGTATGTTGTGGAGAAAATTATTGATAAACGAACAAAAAATGGCAAAGTTGAATATTTCTTAAGTTGGAAAGGATTTCCTCCATCGGACAACACCTGGGAACCAGTCGAAAATTTGGATTGCCCTGACTTAATTCAAGTGCGTCCTATATTAATCACCTTTTATACAATTAGTCGTTCGAATTTACATCTGCAGTACCATCATTCAGATTATCAGTCCCAATTCTGCCTTTGGCTTATGGCCAGAATTGGCCAAAATTGTAGTGTATCACGTCTTTGAGTTCAGTGCTTTGAAAATTACGTTTAGGTCACATCTATAATGTTCTTTTGGCAGGATAAGATACAGTTAATATTCTTCAATCGAATACCTTTTATCAAGGTTTAGGTGCTAAGGCGTTTGCAAACAGTTCTTTTGATAGAAGCTGAAGCGAATGCTTTTGTACCCAGGAACTTTGTGTCATATGCTTGTTGTAGGCTTATGAGATGGAGGAAGCAAGGAAAGAACAGGAGTTATTTAAAAATTGTGAAACTGAAAGAGAAGAAGTGAAGAACGGATTTGAACAAGGTATGGATTATCATCAGCTAGCAAGAAGTTTTTTTGCCGTGAGATGTGAGGATAGGAGGTTGTTCAGTATTCACTTTACCAAATCTCGAGCGCATTTTCACTGGGTACCTGGGGAAAGCCATATCTCGTTAGTATTGTGCAGTAGAGGTTCACTGCGCAAGATCGTGAAAGCGTATGGGAGACTATATCTTTTTCTAGGGTTGAGAAAATTACACAAACCGCAGCTTAAGTTGTCTTACTAAGAAACCAGCACTAATATATGTAGGAGTCATTTTTTAAATGAGACTATGAGGAAAAACAACCAATTTTTCATTTCGACATTCCTTGTTTCATCTTTCGTGTGCTCCCATGTGCTCTTGTGAAAGGTGACTTAGGGTTATAACAGCTCTTTTTCCTCAGGGATAAAACAGGGGAGTGCTATTGGGGGCATTCTCACAGGAATCTTAATCCTAAATCCAGACTTCTAGAGTAGTACGTTATGCGTGTAGAAAAAGGACCACTGTGAGTTTTTTTCT